TGTTGGGTCTATGTGTTCATTTAAGGTCATTAGTGGGGTTTTTTTTTTAATGTAGTTGGGTGCACTGATTTTTTGGTGAATTTATGTTAAGAATTATTATTTCCTCTTGATGAATTGTTCCTTTTATTAATATGAAGTGACTTTCATTGTCTCTTCTGACCGATTTTGGTCTGAAGTCTACTTTGTCAGATAAAAGTATAGCTACTCCTGGCTGTTTTGGGGGGTCTATTTGCTTAAGAAGTCTTTTTCTACCCTGTCACTGTAAGCCAGTGTTTGTTTTTCTCAGTGAGATGTGTTTCCTGTTAGCAACAAATGGTTGAGTCTTATTTTTTTTAAAATCCAATTTGCTATTTCATGTCTTTTTTTTGTGCTTTTGAGACCATCAACATTCTGTGTTAGTTTGAAAAGGTGTGTAGTATTCCAATTATTTTTATACCCTGATGTTAACTTTTTCCCCTGTTCCTTGTTTGCTACAGTGTTTGTCAAAGGGGCTTATTTTCTTGCATTTTTGTAGCTGACTCTAATTTATTTCTTCTGTTGTTTGGTAGGAGTCCAAGTATTTTCTGCAGTACTGGTTTGATCAATGAATTCCTTTAGTTTTTTTTTGTTTGTTGTGGAAATTTTTCACTTCTCCTTCAATTAAAAAGGATAAATTTTGCTGGATAGACTAGTAATAGGTTGGCAGATGTCTTTCAGGACCTGGAATATATCTTTTCATGACCTTCTTGCATTTAGAGTTTGCTGTTGAGAAGTTTGCTGTTATTCTAATGGGTTTACCTTTATATAGTGATCTGTTTTTTTCTCTTTGCAACTTTCAGTGTTCTGTATATTGAACATTTTTTGATTATGGAATAATGCTATGTCTGGGGGTTGTTTTCTTTCTGGTCCTGCCAGTTTGGTAATTCTGTAAGCCTCCTGACTTGGATGTGACTTCCTTTCTCAGGCTGGGGAAGCTTTCAGCTATTTATGTTATTGAATAAGTTATCTATGCCTTCAGTTTAGTATTTCTTTCCTTCTTCTATACCATGATTTGTAGATTTGGTCTTTTCATTCGTATTTTCTTAGCATTTTTTTTTCAGGTCTTTGATACTGTTGATTCTAATTCCTCTACTTCATCTCTGTTTCCTGATACTCTGTTTTTCATCTCTCTCCACTCATTAACAGCTTTCAATTAAGGTTTTTATTTGGGGGTATTGAGCTGTTTGTTTCAAATTTGGTTATTTTTCCAGGATTTCTATGTCCTTTAATTGATTTCCTCTTTCAAATATCCTGCATGGTCTTTCTTAATTTCATTCATCTGTTTGTTTTTGAATTCTCTTTGAGTTTCTTTTAGTTGTTTTATTCATACCCTCTTTGAACTCAGTCCATAGCATATGTATCTCCCTCTTTGCTCATTGATCATTCTTTCTACTATTTTTTTGGAAATTCAGTATTTGAGTATCTCTTCCTCTTCACTATTGTTTTAGATCCTTAGAGTGCATTGCAGTTTGGTTTTTTGAGGGAGAGTTGTTTCCTTGTTGCTTCATGTTTCTGCATTGAGATTTTGTGTAATCTGGGGTCATTTTTGGTGAGAGGTTCTAATCTCCTGTACCCATTTAGTGGGGGTTTTTATTGAAAGATTGTACAAGACTTGATGGTTGAAGTCTGTTTTTTTTTCTCTAGATGGGAGTGGGAGGGTAGTAGCTCAATAAGTAAACTCATCAGCTTCTATTTCTCAAGAATGCTGGATTCTACTCCCTGTTCCACATAGGACGAGGAGGCCTTTAGTTAATAAATCTATCACAGTTGTTTAAGGTGCAGCCTCAAAATTAAGTTCCCTAGTAAGGATCGTTTACTGTTTACTGTTTCCAGTTTCTTTATTTGTCTGTTGGAAGCAAAGATGAAATCTTCGTGGTCTTGGAAGACTAAAAGTAAGGTTTGTGGTGGGAGGGAGACAGGGGGATAGCATTATGTAGATAATATGAGGTTTGAAAGTTTATGTAGCAGAAAGGGGTGGTGGTTGAGCTAATAGAAGGGGGCTAATTAAGAAGCAGACTGGGATAGGTAGAAAAGATCGAGGTAGATAATAAAATAGAGAACATGGAAAAAATTGTAGAGACAGAGCAACAAATATAAATACCACAGAGCTGAAAAAAAATCTGGGAATCTATTTTTATTGAAAAGTTATTGACAGTGAAGAAAGGCTTGTGGGGTGGGTAGACAGAGAGAAGGGAAATGAGAGCTAGGTTTGTTTGTTTTAGTGTTGACAGAAAGTGCAAATTGGAGAGGTGTGATGAAAAAGGTAAGGAGAAAGAAATGGTTTTAGGGTTGCAAATTTAAAGGTGGGTTATGGTGCTTTCGTGATGACTACAGTGAGGGGAAAGAGAGGAAGGAGGACTAAAGAGAAAGCTGGGAAGCAAGAATGCAAAATTGTTATTGGAGTGTACAGAAAAACTACAAACAGTAAAAAGCTACATCACAAATTTAGCAGCAACAAACACAGATATTACATAAGAATTGCAGATTTTTATTGCTTTTCTGAGAAAGTTGAAACACCCCCACAAGTGTTTCAATCCACTAGATGGCAGGCTTAATTGGATACCTGCCTCTGGAATGGGTGGCCTGATGCTGGGGAGAGGGAAGTATTTGGAGGTCTAAGTAGAATCTCTGGAGTTTGTACTTTTGTCAACCTGCCAGCCTCACCCCATCCACACTTGTAATTTGCTCCTCTCAAGCCCCCCAGGATTTACAGACTGTAGTTATACATAAATGCAGGAGTTTGTCCAGATGTCCTCACTGGTTGGAGGTCCCTGGTGGGGTTAGAAGTACAGCACATGGTTGGTAGTGCTGTCCCTACTACCACTGCTATGGCTGTGCATTCAGCAACTTTTTAGGCTTCCCTGTGCCACCCTGAACCTCTGTGGGCTGCTGCCAGGTCATAGTAAGTTTTCCCTGGTGGATACCTGTTCTGTGCTGGCTTTCACTTGTCCCTGTTTGATGGGCATGTGGACTCCAGGGAGGGTCTTTGTTCAAAGAACACACCATGTGGTGCACTCCACTTCTACTCACCGGATTCCCAGCAGCTTTCCTTAGCATGATTTGTATGCTGCCTTTCTTTGTGGGCACTGATTCTTCTTCCACAAGGTTTCTTGCTTGAAGTTTGCTGGCACTTGGTTCCAGGGCATGGGGAAGTGCATATCTACAAAATAGTTTTTCTTCACATATTCTATTGCTTCACTATTTTTTGGGTTCCAGCAGAGTTCTGATTCTCACTGTCTATGGGACCTGGCACATGTCTTCCAGGGCCCTCATTTTCTACCTTCCTTTAGGTTTGTGAGAGCTCTGGGGTTTGGGGCTGTCAGTAATCTGCCATCTTGCTTCCATGATTGATTTGTCAAGAATTCTTTATGACTTTTTGCCTTCCACATCCTTTCGTTGATTTTATAGCTTGCAACTTTCACATTCTGTTAAATAATTTTTTCCTTCTGTTCTTTTTTCTTAACATATATAAGCATCTACTACACATATTTATTGGTATATAGGGAATAAATATATGCTATGTTTAGTGAATATTCTCCTCATATTTTGTTCTTTTCTTAGATTGAAATTCATATAGTATAATATCTACCCATTTTAAATGTTCAGTACAGATTCACAAGAATGTATAAACATCCCCATTACCTAATTCGAGAACATTTTCATCACTCCAGAAAGACTCCCCATAACCATAGCAGCCACTCCTCATTGCCTTCTTCCTCCCACTGCATGGCAAGGACTCACCTTTTTTCCTGTTGTGGACATTTTGTATGAATGGAATGATATAAGATGTGGTTACTTATGTCTGGTTTCTTTTATTTAGGGTAATGCTTTCAAGGTTTACCTGTATTATAGCATGTATCTGTACTTCATTCCTTTTAATGGCTTAGTTATCTCATTCTTTGAGTATGGATATATCAAAAATTACTTACCTAATTTCCTGAATGATATTTAAGTGGATTCCAATTTTTCACTGTAATGAATACTTTTATGTCCTTTTCTGATTGTGCCACTGATGTAACTCTTGGCACTTGTTTACTCTTAATGAACAGGGAACCAGGTTCCACTTATGCTCATGATTTCTTTATATTGTATCCTTTTAATAATTGTGGTGTTAGATAGTGAAATTACCATCACATCCTATTTTGGTGTTAGACAAAGAGTACAGGGCCTCTAAGAGAAGTAGAGAGACTCAGGAAGATTTATATTTTATCCAGCTTCAAATTCCATCACTTGGAGGTGTATATTAACTTCTTAGACCTTGGAGTCCTATTTGTAAAAGTGTTATTGTCTCATCTGCCTCACTGGAAGACTAGATTGTTGTGAGGACTGGATAGAGTGATTTTAATGAAGGTGATTATTGTATGGTAGGCTTCAATGTCACGGTCATTGTCACTACAGAGCTTAGGTAAGAACTGAGGCCTGGGGTAAAAGCTCTTTGGAATATCATTTTTCCTGCTCTGACAATCTTCCTTTGCATAGTCCACTCTCAATTAGGTATAAACTTGGAGGAAAAGGATGATAGAGGCCTTGGTTGTTGTCTCCAGCTAACATCCACTGCTGCTGTTACCATGATAGCAGTGCTGTAAGGCCCAATGAGAAGACACAGAGTAATTCTTGTTTTCTTATCATAGTCTGTACCAGCCATGTATATAGGCATTCTAGCAGCTATAGTTGTTTAGATTATATTTCTGCTTTGACTTCTTTATGAGGTAGTTTCTGTAAAATATGACTATAACTTTGGAATGAAGTCCCATAAAACTCTCTCAGCACAGCAGCACATCTGTGCCTTCATCCATTGAGTAGTATGGTTCATGGCCACAGTGACAGTCAAATGGGTAATGGAAATAAGCTTACAACTATATATACTGCCGGAGCCAATGCTATTTCTCAGGAACAAAACAAAACACTCTCCCAAAACAAAATAATCAAAAAACTTAGCCATGTTGTATAGTATCTGATTCGTGTTTTCTGTTTCATCCCAGGAATCCTCAATTTGGCATCTGGAGTGGTAGATTTACTTCAGTTCTATTTCCCAGAATCTTTTGATCGCCTTCCAAGGGATTCTGGCCTTTTTGATGGTCCCAAACCAACTGTCCTGGAGTCTTGTAGTGTAAGCGATTTGGCAATTTTACTACGAGGGAACAAAAGGAAAACTCAACCTATTGAATTTGGTGCTCACCAGGTAAGTTTCTTAGGGTTTCAAGTTTTGAAAATAGGACAGTTTGCAGTTGAAAAAGGGTTTGAAAGACTGAATTATTTTGCAAGGTAGAATTCATTAACCCTGTCCTAGAATGGGTAAGTGACACAGATAAGAAAGTGACTCATAGTTCTAATATTTCCCTGGTCTTGGCTGACCAAGTCTATGTTGGCCATTTCTCTTTAAAGACATTACCTACCTCTCACTGAAACAGATGGTGCATTGCCAGGTTTTTCTTTGCAGTATTTAATGTTGTTTTATTGTATTTTACTTCAGGTAATCCTTGTTGCCAATGAAATGGCAAAGGAGAAAATTCCAGAAGAGCTGGGGTTAGCACTCGTGTTAACAGTTTATGAAGCAAAAGGACTGGAATTTGATGATGTACTCCTTTACAATTTTTTTACTGATTCTGAGGTATGTGACCCTGAATTCTTTCATATAGTCCAAGAGCTGAATATCTGTTCTGGGTAAGAGAATTTGGTTGGTAAGAGTTTGTCACACGTACCCATTAGTGTTCTGGAGCATAGTCTGTTTAGTGTGCAGGTTGTGTGTTTAGATGCGGGTTTTGACAATGGCTGTGGGCTGATTCACAGTATGTTATGAGCTGGTTTTTCCTGTGTCTTCCCTGGCCCTCTTGTATTCATCTTTTGAATGCTTAGTTTTCATTAGCTATTGTTATCCTTGACTCTCAGGAGTGCCTAAGTTGAAGGAAGGTCTAAGGAGAGACTTACAAATGAAGGCAAGGTCCACTTTATAAGAACGAAACTGGACAATGTGAGTTCATAGAAATACAACTCCTAGAGACAGTGAATCTTGATTCCCGCCTGCTGGATCAGGTAAAGTAGGGGATGAGAACAGCAATCCTGCCTGGGAGTTCTCTTCTGGAATGGCTTTACTACCACTGCTTATAACCCATTGATACCATGGCAGCCAGAGTCCCCAGACTGACCCCTAGTAACCTCTGTGTCAGCCATTGCTTTGACATGGCTCCTGAATCCTTGTAATCGTTTCCTTCCCAAACTTAGTTCGTTGTTGGTAGAGCCACCAACTCAAGACCATTGTACTGGGATTTTAGCTTCTGGTTTCTTTTTATTACTATTTTTTGGTGGGGCCTCAGGCTGGCTACTGATTGTGTTGTAGAGTCTTCTTTGGGGATTTAGCTGACTGTGTCCTGGTCTCTTTTTCAGACTTCCCATTACATGTGGTGCATGCCTGAAGTGGTTGTTTTACCTGTCAAGAGCACTCTTGGCTTTGACACCTTAAAATCTGCCCTAGAGCTGACCCTTTAAGTAGAATCCTTACTTTTTTTCTTGACTATTTTTAATGTCATATTTTCATTAATAATACCTATGGCTAATACTGGTTGGGCACTTTACAATTTTGAATGCATTGTTTTACTTCACCCTCTGAGGCTATTGTATTTTTATTACCCTAATTTTATAGATAAAGCAGAAGGCCATTGAGGTTAAATAAATTGTCCATGGTCATAATCATTTTGACATGGGAAACTGTAGAGAGCGTCTCTCTTGCTCCCTGTTTGTGTTCTGGGCAGACAGAGCCTTGCAGCATCTGTCACATGGGCCTGGGGTGTGTATGGACATAGGTGAGACAAGGTCCTTATTGCCTCAGATTGTGACTTTTCTCTCTGGAGAATTTATTTTGCCTATTCAATGACATGGTTGTCATATGGTCTTCTGAGATGTGGAAGGAATCAAGGAGTGGCCGCAACAATCCTTTTTCTTGTAGGATGTTGCCTTGTCTTTGGGGAGGGGCAGTTATTCTCTGATTCACCCCTTTCTACACTCCTTTCTTTCATGTTCATGTGTGAATGGGATAGTAGGGACTTTGAAAGCTCCAAGTTTTATGGTGGTCTTGCTGCTGGAATCTAAACCTTTTATTTCACAATTATTGTTCCCACGAGAAAAAGCTGGAAGACTTTTTTGTGCTGCTCCTTTTGTTGCAACGAGTGCTGCAGGCTGGTATCTTTGCTACAAATACACATTCTGAAAGTCTCTATCTTGAAAATAAAATGTTTGTGCTTCATGGAAAAGGTCAATTACATGGTGTTTGAGCAGCTTCTGCTTCTTCTCTCCTTGTAGTTTTAAAATGCATTTAAGGCTATAAACTGAAGCCTTAACAAGTACAAAAAATTGAAATAATTTCCTGTATCCCTTTTAAGGCAGGCCAGTCCAGTCTGTACCTTACGGTGCCTGCCAGGAGTCTTCTCAAACTCCGAGCAATAGCGTCTTTTGCTGTTGTCCTTAGTGAACAATTGAGCCTGCTAAATAGCTTCATAAAGAGGATAATATAAATATGTCCTGAAAGCTTTTTTTCTAAACCTATCAAATTCTGTATTTAATTAGACCACAACAGAATAAAACTAGAAATCAATAATGAGAAACTACAGAATATATTCAAACACATGGAATGTTACCAGAACTTTAGTGCTAGTATAAAACTTGATCATTGCATCCAGCAAGAGAAGAATTCAGGGAAGACTCCAAAGCATAGTAAAAGTGATAGCAAAATTAATTTGTAAATACGCTTTCAATAGACTAAAAGTAGGTTATCTCTGGAGTGAGAACGACAATATCAGCATTTAGAGCTGAAATATTTATTGAGGAATTCTCAGAGTCCAGTTATCTGATCATTAAGATGGACTCCTGGGCCTGGGACTTTATCTTATTAAATTAAAGAGATTGCCTGTGTGAAATTCTCAGCCCTTGATCTGTTCTTTGTGAAAATCTCAGTCCTTGGTCTATCTGATGCCTACAGTGTACCTTTTGGGCCTGAGTCTTTGTCTTACTAAGTTAAAGAGATGACCTATGTGAAATTTCAAGCCCCCAGCCTAGCTGATATATAAGGTATGACTGAGTAAAGAAAGGATTAAGCTTTAAGTGAATGGCAGACTTCAAAGCATCCCATGATATCCCCACATTGATGGACTACTTTGATCTTAACAGGAACTGGAAAACTGTGGAGTTGGGAAATTTGATTGTAATGATTTTTTTCCTCTTGCGGCCACCTCTTGTTCTATCTGCTACCTATCTGGAAACTGAGTAATTTACTTTTGAATGATCAAAAGTAAATTCTAACAGACTGAAAAATTTAGAAGAAATGGATAAATTTCTAGATGCATATGACCTATCAAAATTCAGCAAACAGGCTGGAGGATCATAAACAGATCTATAACAAGCAATGAAATTGAAGAAATAATAAAGAGTCTCCAAAGAAGAGCACAGGACCAGATGGATTCACTGCTGAATTCTAGTAGGCCTTTAAGGAAGAACTAACACCAATGATTTTCAAACTGTTCTGTGAAATAAAAAGGGAAGGAACACTACCAAAAAGCTGTTAATGGTGCTGATGCAGTCTGTGATCAGAAGACTTCCAAATTCTTTGTGTCCTATGGAAAGAATTCATCTCAGGACACATAGGTGTAAATGGAGTTTATTAAAAGGTAGGAAAGAGAAATACAAAGGGGAGCAGGGTGGAGTGCAGATGTAGTTTGCCTATAGAGAGAGTGAGCTTCTCTTTTTTAGGTACTTTAAAAACTTATGCTAATCTATGGGAAGGGAGGAACCAGGTGATTCCCATCCAATAATCATTGAGTGGGGAGGGGCATGGGTGGTTCCCAGCTATGTGAGGGTAGTCTGGGCTGTCTCTGGGCAACCTACATATGAGTCCCAAACTTTCCCTACTTCTAGACTGCCTCAAATTGTCTCTGAGAGACAATATTCCAAAAATTTTCTGTTTGGGAGATTGGGGAAGGGTGTGTGTGTGTGGTCCATCTTCAGTATCTGCTTCGAACTGACAAGGAGCAGCAGACTCTACCTACAAGGGGAAATTGTCTCTTCTACTTCTTTCTCTTGGGGCCCATTTGGACACAAGGTGTCTGAATTATTGTCTAGCATAGTCAAGGTTTCTCAGGAGATCTGGGTTGCACATGGAGATCTTGTTTGTTTGTAGAGATCAATAGCCCTGTTACCTCATGATTTGGGTCCTAAAGGCTTTTATCCTGGAAGAGATAAATGTGGTTTAAAAGGCATGACCTGAATATGAACATTGATAGGAGCATCAGGAGGGGCTTTGCCAGGTATAGCAGGAAGGATAAACAATCTAATTTTTTATTTTGAAAAGTGACAGTCTTATGGTAACTTTGCTTATAGGTGTTCATACCTGTACTTATTTTTAACTCTTAGATGGCCCTCTATTTGGATTGCCATTGTAGTAGGCAGTTAAGACTAATTGTTTGGGGGTAGTATCTACATTAGAGGCCAATTAGAGGTTAAACATCAATGAGTCAGTTCTGTACAGAAAGAAGACTCATAGCATCCCTAAGCAGAAGTTAGATACCATTGAAAGTTATATTGCCTTTTTTAAAACAGAAGGCCTTGGCCAAAGACATGAGTTTGCCTTTTTCCAGAAGCCTAGAAGCCTTAAATATTAGAGCACACGCGTAAGAGCCCTTTTTAAAATCTCTCAGCTTTGGTTACTTTTAGAGGCATGGCATAGTTGACTCTATCTGGGTCTGGAGAAGTGCCCTCATTTGTGTAGTCCTTTTGAACTGTCTTGGGTGGCTGAACACTACTTGTTCCTGTAAGAAGTTGAGGGATGCTGACTGCTCAGGGGTTGCATCCTCTTAAACTATTCCTCTGAACAGTTTTCTCTGAAGATACTGCCAATTTGGCAGTTTTGTCCACTGGAGCAGGAGTGGCTTCTCTCAGAAAGTTCAGAAAGTCAGATTTTTTCCCATGGAGGAGGGGAAGTAATACATCGAACAGATCAGAAGTCAGTGCCAATGTGACCTTTTTGGCTAAATTAAGCAACAGAGATTTATTAAAAAATGGCTCTTAGGCTGGGCTCAGTTAAATCTAATCGTCTTTGCCATAGGGGATGTTCTGACAGCTCTAAATTGCTACAAAGTGTTAGCAGACAACAGTTCAGTTTTTATAAGGAAAACACAAAACGACCCCAATACTTAAGAATGTCTGTCCTGTTTGACAGATAAGCACTAGACAGAGTCATTTTCCAGTTAGAGAACCATCTTATGGGCTTGTCTGTAAATGTTTTAGAAGGATTAGAACTATAATGACAAAACTTAAAGTAGCCATGGTTAATCACAGTTTAAACCTTGAATTTTGGTTAGGTAAAGTAACAAGTTAGTGGTTGTCAGTACTGTCAATACAGTACTGACAAAACCTCTAAATTTTCCAATGGTTAGGGGAAAGCAATTTCAGTAATTTTAAATAGCCCCTGTTTTAATGTTCAATTATATATTATATATATACACACACAATGTATATATGTTATATGTATGTATACATACATATATAAAACACATATATATTAAGAATTGTATATATAATATAAGCAATTATATGTGTAAAATGTTTATCTAGCCAATGTCAGAT